TAAAAAATTAGTCCTGAATAAGGGTCAGCTATACTTCCTCTGTTGTTTGCATATTCAAACACCCTGGAGATTATTCGTAGAGCCCATCTCTTACGAGTCGATGTCTGGGAATGAAAGAAGAAATATGAATTTCTACCTGCTAATTTGTCTTCTGTGTTCCCAGACACTGACTCATGTTATCCCACCCACTGGACCAAATTGCAATACAGCATTTCTGTTGTTACAACTTTTCCAATTACATATTCAAGATTAAAAGAATCAAGACCAAAAAAACATTTAAGGGCCTAATTAGGAATTTAAGAACTTGACTTGGATATTTAAAATATTGGCCAAGTATCCAATACCAAATGTGTAATCTGGAAAATTTGTGAGAATGGAAATCTTATATTATCCCAGTGTTCAGAGAGTAAATGTTGTGAGTCAGTGTCTGGGAACACAGAGGACAAATTAGAAGGTAAAAATTCATATTTTTGTATTAATTCCCAGATATTTGGTAACCTAAATGTGGATTCAGGCCAAGATTTTTCAAAAGAAGGATCCTAAACTTAAGCTCCAGAAACCACACGTAGGGGCCTGTTTCATTTCCACCAGTGCTGAGACTTGGCAGCTCCCACTGAGGTCAATGCCTATTGCTCAGTACTCAGCTGAAAGCAGGTGCCTGATGTATGTTATATATGACAAATTTCTGAAGCTTTGAAGGAACTCATTCTAGGCTGTAATACACTATGTGGTGCAGAAAAGTACATTACAACTCTTTACAGTTATAGTTAGCAACCAAATTTATCTGGAAATGCCCTAAGACAGCAACGTTCATCACAGCTTATTAGCAACAGGGATACTGAAAACCTTACTAAAGCATTAGCTACTACAAAATGCATCGGTGCCTCAAACAACTCATGAATGCAGATTAAGTAAAGAAAGTTCCTCTGTATTATCCACACCTAGTTATGGAGCTTCATCTTTGCTGACGGTTACTGTAATATTATTTAATATGATGCTTTGGGTTTGGCCAATGTATTTGTATTGTTTTCGGCATAAACATCTTCATTACACTTTAAATGTTCTCTCTTTTGTAAGTGGCCTCTCACAGCTAATTTTCATATGCTCTTCAAATGAGCTTTGTGTTTTTCTAGAGGATGAAGTACTTCTGAGTTATGTAATCCTGGTCCATCTGGTGGTATTGTTTGGTTTACATGGATCTGATCTTCTGTACAACTGATAATTATTTACACCATTTGCTAAATCTGGCCATTTTATGATTTTAAATGCCTTCAGTTATATATATATATATAGGGGAAAAAAAAAAGTTCTATGTTATGTCAGGGATTAAAATTTCCCATCTTGTATTAAAAAAAAGCCTTAGAAAGCTAGTAACCAGAATGCACAGCTCTGAACTGTGAAGATTACCTCCATGGTTCTTCTCTTAATTAAAGTTATTTCAAAGCTCTTCCACTCCCAGCGCTGCTCCACAACATGGGCAAAAATGACATGTCCATTACCACATGCTCCAGCTAGTTGAGTGCCATCAATAGACCAAGCAATATTATATATGCTGCCGGTGTTTGGCTTCTCTAAAGTGTAAGACCACTTGCAGAAAAAGAGAAAAGAATTGTTAATTCTTTTTGTACTTTTTGGAAATGATTCATTGTAATAAACAGATTTTCAGGTTTATATTTTTTTTAAGAAATGTCAATGAACTAACTTTTTATTACTTGAGTAAGGAAACCAAAGAGATGTCTTAAGCCAGACTCCTGAAAAACAGGGATACAAAAAGGAAAGCCATCAGGTATGGCAGAAATGAAAAATGTCACAATGCCTAAAGTACATTAACTGAAAGTTATCTAGTCACAATACATTTGAAGTGTACTTATTATAAATCTAGACTATCACTACGTAAAAATTAAGCAAATGTACTTCGAAACAATTACACTTGTTACGCGAGTGCAAGGGGCTATGGTCTTAAGTGTGATGCATTCAGTTTATGCTGCAGTGACAGCAGTTCCTGAACATAGAAGGAGCAAGGCCTGGGCAAAATCAGACCATGTAAAAAAGGTACTCCTATCTCATCACAGAGAGAATTGCAAAGCTCTTGTGTTGCTTCTCTGTGATTCCAACGTAAGGGAATTGGTGGATTAGGAAAAGCTCTGAAAGCAAAGCCTGCATACTGTTCTCTTCCTAACAAAAAAAAAGCAGCTTGATACCTTGCCTACCTTTTTCTCTAGTCTCTGTTGTTGTACAGGGGAAGGATGTATTAAAAATTTCCAGTTGCTATGCTTTCAGTAACAGCAAGAAATTTAAGCAATACTGCAATCAAAGTAGTGACACTGGGTCTAGCTCTGAAGAGAACTAGAAACTGTTCTGTGCATTGCATTTATTTTAGACTAGTTAAGAGGGGCTCACAGAGGAGTATCATAGGTTAATGTTGTGGAGGCACAGGTCAAATAACTGTATTTCAGAATCTTCTTATCAATGTAAGCAGTGTACCTGCTTCCGTATGCAGCTAGAAATTCAAACAGTAGGCAAATTTTTCTGCACTGTACATTTGCTAACTGGATTTTGCAAGGTGGAAAGGCTTGCTTGGGCATCAATAATGCATTTCTGTGGTACTGTGGCAAATATCTTCCTTCATCTTCTACTACTGGTTTACATCATCTACAGCTATTAAAATATGGCTATCACTTTGGTTTGTTGCTTTTTTAAATGGAGGCCCAGAACTGTTGTGCTAGGAGGAAGATGTGAAAGCAGCAGTTACAAAGCTTGCAGATCAGTAGGGATCAGGAACCAGGAGACAGGCAGCTAGCCAGCCTCTGGCAAAGGATACCAGAGATTACACAGCAGTTTGTGACCTGTGGGTTGGCTCATACAAGATGCTTTTAATAAAAATAACTAAGAAGTTATTTGTTACTCTCTAGCAACAGCGTGTAAGTTGCATTTAACATTTTAATTCCTTGTCTTCCCCTGCCCAGGACACGCTGCCCCCCATCCTGCCCACGCAGCTTTATGGAATTTTCTGCTTCAGTGCAATGAGGATGCCAAGGCAGAGGAAGTCCATTAATGAAGCAGCATTTGATTTCTTACCCTTTGACATCCTCCCATATTTTCATGCTGTTAGCATTGCAAATAATAAAATTATAAATCCCCCTAGCACAAAGAACAAGGAAGAGGTATTAAACTGAACATTTGCTTTTTTCCTTCTGATCCATGGCATGAATGTAGTTATGAGAGAAGCTTCCATTTAGTACTAATAATTTTGTTCAATATTTAAATTTCCTCCAGTAAAGAACTTTATTCTTAAATTCCCCTAGCCTTATGAGACTCCTCCACATTTTATCTGGATACTTACTAATACACTCTTGTAAAAAACCAGAAGAATTTTCAGACTAAGACACTTGCTTTCTATTTCTTGTATCTCAGAAATACAGTTCATACAAATCATCCTGAATCTCCAAACAACTGCTTCCCTAACCATGGATAACAACAAACTAAACCTTTTTAAGGACTTTAAAGTCCTTTTTAAGGACTGTAATGCCTTTTAAGGCATTAAACCAGGTTTTAAAACCACAGGCAAATCTCAACTACTGTCTCCTCAGAGCTATGTGAAAGAATATTTAAAAAAAACATTTAGCAGTTGAAGAACTACCTGTATATTCAAATATATGTGAAATCTTCAAATCAAATCAGTAAAAAAACATGTCTGAAGTTAAATGTAGACATTGGATTCTCATGACTTTTGGATACATGATATTACACTAAAGGGGAGACAGTTGGAAGAAAATACTCACCTAATGTTTCTAACATATTTCATATTCTGATTTCTTTTGCAGTACACATAAAACCCAAGAAACAGTAAGTCTTTCACACAGTCTTCACGAAATCACAATTACAGTAAAATAAAGGTGTTGGATTTAAACGTTCAATAGCAAGGAAACACAATGGGATGAAATTCAACCTCCCAGTTGCGCTAATGATTTGCAGAATACTATATAAGATGATCTACTGCACTAAGGCTCTTTTACTGCCTATGCGTGTAAGGGAGAGCAAAAGACAGTGTCGGCACTGACTGAATTTCCAATTTCAAGCACCCAATTTTAAAGCTTCAGCTTACATGCCTCTTGGCTGACAGACATGCCATTCCCTGTCTACACGATCGGCACTTCGGGAAGGCAACTGCAATTTCTGGAGAAAAGACCATAACCTAACTTGTCTGTGTCAATGGGCAGAATTCTGTATGAAACACTCTATAGTAATTAGAAGCACAATATTTAACTATGTCTGACATCCTTACACGGCAAACAAGTAAGCTGTTGAGGTTGTAGGAGAAATGACAGTAACAAGCACACTCAGAGAACACTCTATAAATGTCCTGCATTTGAGACATTTTTCACAGCTGGCCAGATGTGATCTATCCGAGAACAGTTTCAAGTAGTACTATTTCAAAACTGAATATTGGGATCCTCCCAAAAAGACAAGGCTGATTCTAAGGTCATTTCCCTTAGATCAAGAATCTACCCATCAGTCAGAATAAAGGGGCATCAAGAACTAAGAACCAGTCTGAGAAGCTTGAAGAATGTGGTTTTGGAGCTACTTCTTCGTGCACAAATACACTACAGCTCTGAGAGAAGACATTTCCAAAACTACTTTTTTAAACCAAAAGTCTTTTTTCCAGGTACTTTAAATACTCAGTAAAATATTTCCAGATCACAATCTTTTTTTTTTTTTTTTCTCTTTTAATATGTAAAGCAATTAAAGTTTTATTTTCCAGTTATTTCGGAAAGCTCTCAGTATAATTCAGACCACTCCAGTGATTCATACTCCCTGCAGATGCCTGGTACATTTATCATGAACACAAAATGTTGTAATAAAAACCATTTAGCTCTCCATTTATAAGATAGAATCATTTAAAAAAAACAAAATACCTGTTATGTATTTCCTAGATTTGAGTTTAAAAGTAAAATAAAATTTAAATTAAAAAAAAAAAAAAAAAAAAAGAGTGTGAATATGACTATATGAATGATTGTATGAATGTTGTTCTAACATTAGCTCCAATATTATACTGTGGTATTACTGTTCGGCTTATACTTTTCCTCCATCATAATTATTTTTTTTTTATTAATTCAACAAACTCTCTTAAGAACAAAACCAGTAGTTATAAATGTTTCATTATATTAAATAAATACATAGAAGCAGTAACTTAAGCTTCCCTTTTCTGATTGCACAATGTAGTAAAAAAGATTAAGTACTATGGTCATTGAATACTGTCTGACGTCCAAAAATAGAAACTGCTTATGCTCTTGAGATGTTGGTGACATTATTTCAATGAGCAGATTCAGAGAACTGTGTCGCAGGAAGAAGGACGGTCTTTTTCACATCCACAATACTGATGCTCCAAGACTCAATAGAAAAGATCCAGTTAGTTATTATTTCTGGACTGAATGAAGTAAATTAGTTATCCCATAATCGTTTTGAAAAATACATAGTGAAGATGGAGTATTTTCTTATATTTTAAATTATAAGAGTAATACTGATGTCAGCTGTGCAAAGGACACTTGGCTGTTCCTGGCTTATCTCTGTTTCGGCTCCATATGTGGAGTTTTGGACAGGGAATACGGACATAAGCTGAGCTAAAGCTGATATTGCTGAACCTCCCCATGATGTCAGAATCTACACAGCATACCTAATCTGCTGACTTTAATAGCAATCTGTGCTCATTATTTTGCTTTTGTTTAAGAAAAGAAAAATGTGCAATCTCCCCCACAATCCATTCCAGGAATCAGAGTGCAGAACGGACTAACAGCAAATACATGCTCCTGTTCTTTTACTGATAGAAAACTGATAGAAAACAACCGATAGAAACCAAGATGAGTGTGCTAGAACCAGCCTCTGATCCAAGGCCAACACAGAAAGGTTCAGGTCCTCTGAAACTACTTTTTCTTTTCTTTTTTTTTTCTCTCTCTCCAGTGAAGGGTCAGTTTTCCTTGTGCCCCACAGGGCATCTCACATCAGTGCAGAGGTAGCTGGCTTGTGAAAATATATTATAGTCAGAATGTTCATCAAAACTCTCACTACGTCTGAGTGATGAACTGACACTTAAGTGCAAACTGACCAGGAGCTTCTCATTAGAAAATGACTATTAATTTTCTGATGCAATGGAAGGCAAATTGAATCTTACAAGATTTAAAAAGTCGATTATTTGAAGCAAATCCACACTTAGGTTCATTAGAAACACCAGAATACGCACACATATTAGTTAGCTCATGGGAAATACATATGTATGCGTGTCTATATACATAACCATCCTTCCCCCCCCGCCCCGAAATCTTACTAAGCATAAAAAGTAATGATATTTTACAATATAAGACTTATTAGGCTTTCAATTCCTACCCCACAGGAATCCACGTAATACTCTACAAACCAGAGACAATATGCGTAACAGGAGGTAAGGAAATCCAGTGCTACATCCAGGGCAAGTTACCTGAAGAGGAGAAACTATCCTTGACACAACTACTAAAGTATAGAACTATGAAGGATTCCCGTTTCTGCCTTAAACTTTTGTTGGACTTGACCCCAATAATTAATGTGAATTATCA